TAAAAAAAATCTTAACGATGATAAAACATGAAACTCCACCACGGACAAAATTATAGGTCTGCTATCATTTTTGCACTCCAAAGTAACAAAATAAAGCATTTGTCCACGATTTTCGAGGTTTTTCATGAGAAATTGACACGACCATAACGTACAAAGCGAAAATTTCGGACTGCGCTCAAGTATGTGAAACTCTGCGTGCCAAGTTCCGGTACACGTGCCATACCCTTTAAGCACTTCTACTGTATTTATTGTTCTGTGGGGCAAACCATTATGCTACCACGGCCCAATAGTTGGGCATATAATGGATTGATGATAATGATGAATTTAGTATCTTCATATTTTAATGACCCTCGTCATTTAATTGTCTTTGTGTTCACAACCAATCCGTAAACTAATCTATCCTGTTGTGTGTACAAGTACGTTCAAAATATTACTAACGCGTGTTACAGAGTCGTTTAACTTCGTGAAGAGCGTTGTAATTAACTCGTCTTACAGTACAGACTTGATTAAAGGTGGCTATTTGTTTTTGTTTCTTTGTTACAAGGTATTGTGTTCAAAAGAACAAAGGATACTTTTGGAATTTCAACATACATTTGTGCATAGTACAGACATGAAATTCAGGAAATTGTTTTCTTTCACTCCTTTTATCAGACATGACTGGCTTGACAATTTTTGATAAACGCATAAGAAAAAAAGAGAAAACGCTGAAACGATTTCAGACAGCATTTCGATTTTGAAGGGTAAGGGTGCATATGAAATTACAGGCACGTAGGATTTGTCAACTTATGTCTCAGGGTGACGAACACTGTGGCAGTGCCCCTCAGATCTTTGTGATTTAAAGTTCTGGGCAGCTCTGCAACTGCTATGGACAGACGTGTCACTTACCACCAGACGCACAACTTGTTCGTTCGTGACTTGGTATCATAAAAAAAGTTATTCATGTTGTTCATGGCTGTGAAGTTCAAGTCTAAGTCACGTCTTAGGAAACAACATTAAATTAAACCTTACTCACAATTAATAGTCACGACCATATCTACTTTAAGTAACAAATTGTGAAGCGGTTAGGTATATCACGAATTGCCATTTATATGCATAGTTTAAGATTATTCTGGAATAACTTAGTAAGAAATAACAACCGCACTCTAAATACCCTACGTGTAATGCAGTTCAGATATACGAAATTTCTTGCTAAGTGGATACTTTGAACGCTAGTAATTTATTGAACGTTTCAACACTACTGGCACAACATTTGAGAACACAAAAGCAGTTTGGGGGTTGTTAGAAACTCGCTATGCACAAAAATATACGTTTACTTAACATGGTGTTTGCTTTAAAATACTTGTTTTGTCGTTATTTTACTAAAACTGATTGTAAAGATAACAATTAATTGAAGGCGCAACAGAATACGAATTTAATACAATTTATTGCACTCACACCGCAAAAAAAAAAACAAAAATAAATTAATTAAAATAAAATGATTTACGGACACTTACACAAATTAAAAGTGGACAGGAAATGAAGTATAAACCTCAAATTTCAATTTAACTCTATGCCACTTTTATTAGACAGGTACATATCCTAAAAAAAATAACGTTAAAAATATGTAAAGGTCAAAGCTGATCTATCAATCCAGAATCTGATAAAAACCACCTCGCCTCTGTAACGATATAGATGATGTTGTTGCATACGAAATCCATACTGTATCAATCTGACTAACGCTACCTTATTTATGTATTTATTCGGTATGTATTTATAATTTTAAAAAAGTTATTTATGTATGTATTTATAATCCCCACTATAATAATATTCAATACAATATGAATTTTAACATCTATCTTAATGTATATATCCAGTTACAGTGAAACACAGCCCTTTAATGCCGTCAGGCAGACAACAACAAACGAGCAGAAAGAAAAAAAATATAATGGAAATCACTGAAACGTAATATGTATTTTCGCCTGAATATTTTTTTTTAATCACACATATAAACGTGTGATTAAAAAAAATCTATTTCAATAAAATCACTATCAACCGCCCGAGGTGAGCAGGCGCTTGTCGGGTGCAGGGTTGATAATTGAGCGACAAGTTGAATAAACTTCAACTACATTCATTTAAAACTCTATCCCGAATGAGCAGTTATTTTCCCATAAATTTTAGCAGCTGAAAATAACGATTCATTTCCATTCATGTACTACAAACGTCTGGCACATTTTTAACATCTAAGTACCAATTGCTTTAACGGAATTTTATACTCCACTTTATTGTTTGTTTAAAAGAAACGAACAAAGCTCAATTACAGGGCATCTACACTTCAAGGCACGTTTGTCGGACTGCACCATTTGCTGACACTATGACCAATCTTGAGGAATCGCGAACATATTGGACCTCAGGCCCTAGAGACCGAATAGGACCATTAAACTCAGTACACTGAACCCTAACAGCTACGTATAAGGTTGAAAATAAGTAAATAACTTTTGTTTTGATAGGATGGAGCTGGCAATCGAAAGACGACTAGTTTAGGGGCAACAAATCGCTTTACTTGTAATTCGCATCGCACGTGATGAGAATTATTGTTAGAGTCATTTGGTATTTGGTAGATTAGAATAACACGGTTTGTTCTGTAATAAACGAAAAGATCAGGGACTCCTCCAAGGACAGGATTTCGGGCTATATTAGACCTCGAACATATATTTTAAGTTTTTCGACTTGGATATGGTTCCTAATAAAATTGTGTGGTGTATTCACCGCCACTGCTCATACATAATTCACTTTAGATCAATAGGTTTTGCTATTTCTTTATATATACTTAGCAAAAAGTGCTCGCCAATCACAAACTATTTAAAGTTTTTTTAAAGTAATAAATTTCCGTCTGTGGGTTTTCTCGCAATTTTTCAAACCCAGTTCCTACTCGGAGAGCAATAAAAAAGATTGCACCCAATCATATTTTATTGGAGCAGGTATTTCGTAGCGCGTTAGCAATTTGCTACTGCAACAAATTCCTTAACAATAATCACAGCATGTTTCTTTCTTATATCTCATGAAAAAAGTAACAGTATGTATTTTTTTATCATGAAAATAATAAAAACTTTTGCTAAGTAATATAACCAAACTAATCTTCATAAGCATCGAATTGTTATGTACCTATGTGTGTTCCATATGACATATTCATCATATACCTATGTACAACGTGAAATTTTGATAAGTCTTTATTGTACTTCACTATGGTCATCAGGTGACACCTGACTCATTTGGCACATGTATTTATTTAAAAAGTTATAATTTTCTACAATTTTAGTGAAATAAGTTTCAGAAAATTATTGTTCGTTTTTTCTTTTCTACTATTAGATGAAAAACAGAGCAGAGGATTAATAACAAACCCTGGCTCCGCCTGCGCTCGGGACAGCATTCTCAGATCATAACAGCTGATTGGAAACGGAAATGCAACGAGAAGCTACAAAGAGTCGATGTTCATTGTTTTAACCGACTTCAAAAAAGTAGGATGTTCTCACTGCGACTGTATGTTTTTTTTTGTATGTATGTTACGCGATAACTCCGGTATTTGTAAACCGATTTTCATAATTCTTTTTTGTTAGAAGAGGGTATCTGCGTAGTGGTCGCATTTAATTTTGAAGAAAATCATCCACCTTTAAGGGTGGCTGTTCACGTATGAAGATTCATTTTTATAAATAGCGCCTAAATTTTGTTATATGGAGCAATTATTTTAATGATTGATTTTGCTATTCTCCAATTCAAGGCGTTTTTCTCTCTCAATATACTTTGATACTCCTGTGTCAAGTCCCGTATAGTGGCAAACTAGGGGACGAATCCGAGTTTGCGCACTTTCCGGGAACCGATTTCAATAAAATTTGGCAATTATATGTAATTCCACGTACGTTTGACGTCGGTTTTTTTAGTACTCTGTACTGAGATTATATAATGTGCAAATCTTGGTTACAAATAATTTTATCAAAAAACAATTTGTCACGAGTATTTCAATATAAGTGATTTGATTTTCATAATTTTGACTTAACAAACGTTGATTTTCACTAAACCAGTCTTTCGCTTTCCCAACTATAGTTATATAAAATTTTTCACGACATTTTCGTCAAACAGTATCATCGCTTAAGTTTAAAAAACACTTCCAAATTAACATCCGTAAAGTGAAGTAAAAGTTTAAGCTTACTCAGCACTGCCAATCCATGATTCGGTTTGTATACAAGTATACCTATAGACATCTCAGTTGTCGAGAAACCGGTCTACTCAGCAACAAACAAAGCGAAAAGCGAATTCGTTGGTTTATATCAACACGAGCCCGAAAATCAGCACATAAATTGGTAGGAACGCACCCGCGTAGCATCAGGTAAGTATGTGCGTATCTGTACTTGTTTTATTTTCTTGTTTATCCCTTTTGTGCGAATTTATTGACGTGATCTGGCATTCAGGCGCATGCGGTACGTGCTCACTTCCCTTCTTACCCCCGGTACCTCCTTCATATATAAAGAAATTATAACTTATCGACATTCGTTCAAACGATCATAAACCTACTTAAATAATTCTGCGTTGCCTATAGTTCTTAAAATTTGATTGAATATTGTAATATAAGTTTTGACGATTCGTAAAATAATAGCGGCTCCATAATCTCAGTATTCTCAAAAAACGCAAACAGAAATTGCGCTTTAGTTTTGCGTATTTTATTTCATAAATACGAAAGTTGCGGTGACTACCTTAAAATAGACATTTGGATGTTGATATTATTGGAAATCTCTGACGCACGGCATTTTCTGAAAAAATAAAAATATTTTTAAAATTACATTCAATTTGTTGATTGTATTATATACTTTCTAACTATCCTATATACTTTATGCATTTCAAGAAAACGTGACATTTTCATTGCAATGGCAATAATTGAATCAAACGCGACTAAAGCCGTTCTAAATGTTTACCAAACACTCGACTCAGTGCAGTAACTACCATCTCCTTCGCACATTAACACTTCTATTATTAACGTTTACAAAATTAGGCCCTCGACATCACCTACGTGACTACCGAAAAATTTCTTTTCTACCAAATAATAATAATAATAACCTCGGAAAGAACGTGCATTTTATATGTATCTTCTGATTTATCGCCAGAAATAGACTGAATTAGCTGGACGTAAAGTGTAATCTCGTCTGCCGATATTCGAGCGGCAGCATTCGTGAGGTACAGTTGTACGGTCTCCTTTACGATGAAAGTGTACGGTTGGCTTTTTACTTTCGCCTATTGGCTGTATTGCGTCGATACCAGAGATGAGGACAAAATTATGAAAGGTACTTAATTATTTAATTAAAAACGCTACTTACGAAGTAGTGTAAGTAGAATCAGATTGCATTATATTGTTTACATTACATTAAAAAAACGAAAGAACTTGAATTTGAAGTCTCGTAACTTACGTATTTTTTTTACTGCCATATAGATCATTAATATAGTATATTCATTTATAATAAAAACTAAGTCGTAATATAACAAGTAATCTCATCATTTATCAATTGCCTTTAAAACACACACAGCAGAATGTAAAATATAAATGAAAATTATGGCTACCTCCAGGCACAGTTAGTCAAGGCTATCTACTAGCACCCCGGGGAGTAGTACGGACTTGCGGCGACCGAAAAAGAAAGTCTAGTGTTCAAGTGTAGATTTAGTGCTCTATCACCTAATAATGTCCACTAAGAGGTTAAGGGAAATTTAGGAGGTGGGAAAATTCTTCGCTTTATTTTTCCTTAAAACTTTCTGATAGTTCGGTTTTAGATTTTTTCGAAGTTAAATTATTATACCAAGTTTACCAAGTTATGTTACCACAACCACGACTAATTGTTCTGTGGTAAATATAACCATTTCAATTTCACAGAGATATTATAGAAAGTTACCTGTATAAAACGTTTCAGCGTGTTACTGGCCGAATGAAATGTATGAGCCGTGTTTCGGTGGTTGCGCCGAGGTGTCGTGTGACAATCCCCGTAACCACCTGCGACCCTGCTATCCGTATTGTGAGCCTGGCTGCGTGTGTGAGGAGCCCTACGTGCGGGATGACCGCACCCATCAGTGCGTACTGCCACAGGATTGTTCACCGTCAGTATCTATACGTCTTTGTCTCTTAAAAAATAAAATTCGGAATGTAATACGTCCATTAAGATGGTTTTCCACCGATGAGGCGAGGCGAGACGAGACGAGAATTGAAATCTCGCCGGCCTATTTCTACCAAAAATTCCCATTAAAAGCGCGAGTCATCGCGACCTCGCGCTTGTTCGCGCTGTGGTTGTCGTTAGTGAAGATTCAGTGCTGTTTAGTTCGTCTAGCAACAAACACACGGCGGAAGAAACATGTCCCGTAAATTATTATTATTAAATATGTTAACGGAAGTACAATCAGATGAAACCATCTATTTTTAAAGTCTCATGTCGTATTTACCCCACAATTTCATGATTAATACTAATAGCCATCGCGAGACAGCACAGAGCAATACGGTTCAATATTACATCAACAAATATATCTATTTTCGCCTCGCATGGGCGAGGATGGTTTCGTTACTCCAGATCATTTCCACCGAAGATGCGCTAGGACCGAATTGAAATCTTGTTATACAAAATTCAATCCTCGTCTCGTCTCGCCTCGCCGGTTGAAAAGCTCTTTTACATACTAGATTTCATTGTTTTCACTCAGTGGCAGCAAACAGTATTAGTAGCAGTAGAGCTCCTTGTGAAAGGGTTAATCCAAGGAAGTACTGCCATGTTACCTATTTCTACCGCCAAGCGGCAATGTGAGCATTAATGCGTTCCGGCCTTGAATGGTAAGCGTGCTGGTGAAATTATAGCCACAAGGGACAACTTTTGTTCCAAGATGACGGGCGCAATGGCAGTGCCCTTCAGATCTTTGCGATTTAAGGCTCTGGCACTGCAGCTGTTATAATAATAATAATAATAACGCGCACAGTCAACATAGCCCCGCAATAGGGAAACCCTGTGTCGCGGGTGTCATGGACACACACATAGACAACCACAAATTACACCCAAACTCACGAGATAAATAAATGTAAGCCATACAAATATTTCTCCCGGCCCGGGAATCGAACCTGAGACCTCTGCGTGGCCACCGAGACAGTGAGTTATGGACAGGAGTGTCGCTTAACACCATACACACGACTTGTTCGTCACGTCACTTGGTATTATAAAAAAAAACAGTTGGCCTTCCAGACAGGCGAAAATACTTAAACAATCAAATCCTATCTCCGCTAATTCATCATGAAATCAATTCAGTATGAATGAATTAAATTTATATCTGAGTACAAGTGCAACAAAAATTTAAACTTCATATTTATCGCTCATCACTATTTCTATTCCAGGACACAAATGGGAATACCAGTACCCTCGAAGAAAAAAAGTAAACTACCGTCACCGCCGCCAGTTATGCCTCCTGGATCTAGCTTGCCCTATGACAGCAGAATGCTGCACTATAAGCGATCTGAAGGTGGAGAAATTATGGAGAACGAACTGTCTCTATCACCTCAGCATCCTGAAGAGCAGTTCAAGCGAGGAAACTCTGATATGTCCAGGATGGGCAACTACTTCAACATAGTGATCGCTCCACCTCCGATCAAAACTCTGCAGCCAAGAAAAATGATCTCTAACGACTATCGCGTAGCCCCTAAACGATACAGCTCATAAATAAAACTGTCATTTTCGAAAACACATTTTTTATTATATTAAGCAAAATACCTACATTCCTTACAACTACGACATATTTACACATCTGAAAAACATATAAGCAGTCATTAAATTATTTTAGAAGCCCAAAGAAAAATCACTAGAATATTTGCTGATAGAATGTTTACAGTAAAATTATCGCCAATATAATTGTTATTTCAGAAATTGAATTTATAATAATTATGTAGATAGTAAACTAGAAAAACAAAAAGTGCAACAAAAATAACCTGACTACTGTTCGTAACACGTATAGTGTACGATACAAAAAATAATAAAGAAAAAAGTCAACGACGATGACGATTAAAGTTAATATTGTTTACATTGGTTTTATATGTTCTTTTGACTTACTGAGCTACGATAAGCGGTTCATTCAACACATCCGCTTTACTTTATGTTCGGGTTCCGCGAGTATTCTCTTCGACGTTGCGGCGTGAAACGAAATATCTGCGCTGCCATTTTGAAAACACAATGGACTGACGGTAGATCCCCAACATGCGTAAATTATTGCTGTTGGCACTCCTTCTGTGTAAGTGCAATCAACGAAACGTGATTTTCAAGAAAGTAGTGTTTTTTATAAAGTAACATTTGTATTACAGATGATATCGTTGGTTCTGCATCAAGAATGGGTTATGACTATGACGAAATGGATGTCATAAAAAGACACGGCGACAGATCCTGGCGCAGAAAGGGGATGGTGAAATCGATGGAGCACGTATGGGACGACAGGAAACGACACGATTATGAACCAATGAATATAAATCCTCAAAGATACTATGAGGAAATGGAGCCCAAAGGGTATCCTGCTATGGAAAGACAAAGGCCGGAACCTGACTACAACAAGCGGCACTACGATGATATTGATAAGCTTCAGAAAGCACTGACAGCGCCGAAAAGTATTGAAATTGATCACCCGACAAATTTAGGGCCCAATATGCCATCGAATTTGCCACCAAATATGAACCCCAATATGAATATGTATGGCTTTTGTTAAAGTTTTGTTTTTAAAGAAAACCTTTCATCATACCTAACTCATTTTATTTGTACACGCTATCCATCACGATATTGTAGTCTTTAATTATTTCCTGCGACTCTAGTAACATAAATGTACTACCTTCTCATTTAAGGTCGCTGTTCCTGTATTTTTTGTAACATATATAAATAATCTTATTATTAATATAAATAATCTTTTTCGTTTTGCAGGGAAGGTCTGCCTGAGAAAAAAATTTCGACTGTAATGAATTGTGATAGACCACATGAAAGGTACCTTAATGTATATACTTTCTCTTCATTCCTAAGTCCTAAAAAGGCGTTTACTAAGATTTTCGCTACATTCTTGTAAAATTAAGGATCATTAGGTGACCGGTGAGTTTTTTATATAACAATAAATTGTAAAAATAAGAAAATAAAAAATCTTTAGACTTTCGTGTTTTTCAAAAAAGTATGAAGACTTCATTCAGGAGATTTCGTTAAAGTAATATAAAAAAGTAACAGGGGTTTTGGTTACAATTTTTCAATATTATTATATTAGATACGAGGCGTGCTTTGCGGGATGCGCAGCTGTAACCTGTGACAACCCAAGAGACCGGTTGCGCCCCTGCTACCCATTCTGTGAACCAGGTTGCGTCTGTGTCCATCCCTACGTACGCGATGACCGCACTCACAAATGTGTCCTCATTGACGATTGCACCAAGTAAGTTTACGATACATTTTTGACAATTTATCGATAGTTGCTGAGACCATTTAAATATTATAAACTGTATATTGGACTATCAATGTCTAACTTTATATTAGTTATAAGGAAATTAACATTATATAGATATATATAGATATCTCAAAACATCAAATAAAAAAACCGGCACAGTATACAAATGTAATGTATTTTTCACCTCACTAGCTCGGAAAGGCTTTCTTTGTCATTAGAAATCTGCGCGCAAAAGTGTTTTTTCCACACTAGCGTGGAAAAAGTTTTTGAATTTCGAACTTGACGATGGACTTTAGTGCACCTAACTTATTCTTTCGATTAAAAAATAATACATAATGACATGTTCAAGTACGCGATTTGTCGTACATTATTTATGTAATATAAATCCATTGGTATATTTTATTCTTATTATTGTTGACATTAAATTGACAACAATAACTAATTTTATTGATTAAGATTGTTTTTTTATAGTTCAATTGTTTTTTCTTTCATCTACCATTTTCCTCGCTATAGTGAGGTGAAAACTTGTGTGTTTCGCTCGACAGTAAAATTGTTTTGTGTCTCGTGTCTTGAAACCTTCGCTACACTCAGGATTTTATTCTTGAATTCAATCTTAGCATCCTTCGCTTGCTCAAGTTTCAATACAAGCACTCACGTCAAACAACAACTTTGCAGCCTTGCATGACAAATAACTATTGTCGCCTCCGCGGCCCAAAGGCCCATTGTGGATATTGCATGAGGAGTTTCAGTAGGACTAATGTGGGAAATCATTTTGCCTAATTTGGTTCCTGCCTGAGTGTTCTGGGTACTGCCCTGGAATCAGTTCCGTGATTCTGGTACTCAGACTGCGGAACTCCCTGGTTTGAGTACAGATTATTGGTCTTACACAGCATTATATACTAAATAAAAACAATACATAATCACTTTGTTTTCTTTTCTTATAAGTAACTTCTTTTGTTCGCAGAGGCCTCAAAGGAATCCCAGACCTTGGAGACGAATCATAGCCCAACATTTGCAATTCATTTTACGATTATTATTTAAGTCAATTGTAGTTAGTAAGAAAGTGCCTAATTAAATATTATTTGGGAATTAAATATTGTTGTTTCTTTAACATACTATTAGAAGTTCTAGCAAAAATACAAACTGTTGGTTCAAAATATATTGAGTTCCTAAAAGCGAGAATAGATTTCAACATACTAAAGAAACAAAAGTTAATACGCTTTATAATCAATTATTCAATAACTGCGACAACACTGTGCAAATATAAACCGTTTATTACTCTTTTTTATGCAATAAAAACAGGGTGACTATGCCAGTCGGTATTGCAGCTAATTTTCATTTGAATGTAAACAAATTACATTACATCCGTTTTTCTATACGAAATTAAGGACTATTTGATAATAGTCAATACGTTACATTCATTCAATTCATTACAATTAATATTGTTTTGAACAAAAACTTACAGGGCTTTGTTATTGTACCAAAATATTGTCTATCTCCGTAAATATATAAACTGCACGAACAAAATTGCTAAACACAGCCTAAGCCTTTGCTTTAAAATTGGTGATACCATTTGTGGTAACTAAAAAGAGTCACCATCATTTTCTCGCTATATGCAGTTTGTGAAAACCATTCACGCGTAAACTAGGTCGCCCTTTATCTTTTCAATGCATCCATTGTACGTTGACACAAAAAAATCATTGAAACGAGCCATTGTCTCACATTCGACGTAAGTTTTCCTTTTCAGTAGTTTATGGCATTTGGAAAAGGTATATTGTAAACTTTCCCGAAATAAAAGCTAAATATTGGGCAACGTAGAAAAAAAACAACAAAATGGAAAGTAGTAACAGTATGTGATGTCACGAACTTACTTAACACAAAGTTCAAATAACTGTTTTAAGTGTATAATATAATAGTAATTTTAAGTCCAAGTGGCAACATTTTTGTGTAAGGTGCAATTTTGAATTGACTTAATGTTGTCCTGGATAATATCAGTGTTTCTTCTGCCAACTTCCATCCGTGCACTTGGACATCCTAAATATGGTATGTAAAGACAATATCAATAGTAAAGTAATAATCATACTTACAATATTATTATCCAAGACACTTAACTACGTGGAACATTGTATTATAGTATAAACACAAAATTCATTGTATACTTATCTATAAAATACGAAACGTTTAACTTCTCTGATATTCTAATGTTCTTCTGATCTTTTATGTCACAGAGTGTGGAGAGCATGGCAGATTCGAATACTGCATAGATGGAATACCAGGCTGCATTGTGGGCTGCCATTGTCACCCAGGATATTATTTTGATACAGAGACAAAAATATGTGAACCAAAGTATATTGCTTTCATACATTTTAATCTAGTCCTTGTAGTTTGTGTTAATAATTTTACTACATTTGATTTTATTCCAGTGCTAAACTGGTCCAAGATTACAGACGTCTTTACTTTGGAGAAACAACTCGGATACCTTTAGAGGCTTACACAAGCGACACTGAAAATAATCTCACACCTACAACACTAAACCCCATAGAGCCCCAAATTGACAACATAGCAAAAGATGCCGACGATCTAGGTGACTGGTTATACAACCAATTCTTCAAAACGATTGAAAGCCAAGTAATAAACAAGACAGAAACTGTAAGACCTCCGACTAGGAGAAGCGAAAGTGGGCCGGGAAACTTTAGTAAATCAATAAATAAAGATATTAAAAAAAAATCTGGCAGAAGAAATGAAGGAAAATCGCGCAAAAAGTTAAGAGCGCAAGGTCGAAAAGATAAAAAGAAAAAAGAAACTTTAAGAAGAAAACTACTTCGAATTTCAGAAGACGACAGTCTTTTTGATTCTAGTGATTCTCAAGATACATATACAGAATCGAGTAGTGAAAGTGATTACTCTGATACCTCTGACAGTGAAGGAACTTCTCATGAAAGTGATAAAGATGGAAATGGAAAACGTTGTGACAAGGATGGAGAACATGGCCATAGAAAAATACTTATGATTAACAAGAAGCCTAAACTACCCTTGCCTCCATTTATTTTCTTACCTCAATTTGAAACTCCTTTTTACCCACCAATACCTTTGCCGCCACCACCAGTAATGCCAATGTATCCCATGGTACCAGTTCCACCTATGCCTCCGTTTCCATACCCAGGTATGTTGTTGCATCTATTGATTATGTACAGTCTCTGCACACATTAAAAAATATATTTTTATTGAAAGATAATTTACCTCTGTCGCATCATCCTAAAAAGTGTTATTTTCGTATAATTAAAGTATTAAAACTTGCTGCTATGATACTTCTAACGTTAACTGCAGAGAGAAAGTTACATCACCTACCATGAATTATGTTTTCTGCATTAAACTTTTACTTACAGTAACTTGCCCGGATGACGAGAAAACGGAAACTACTACCAAAAAAGATGAACCTGTTACGGAAAAACCAGATATTAAACCAGATAACAAAACTGATAAATCTCCAAATCATATTACAACTGTCAAACTAAGCGATACTACATCTCCCTCATCAAGTGAAACTGAATCAACCAGTGATCCAAATAATGAAAGTGATCCAACTGAAACACCTTCGTTAAGAAACTTAAAAAAAAAGAAAAATGTAAGTTTCACTAATATAACTTAGTCAGAACAGTATCTTAAATACAAACACTGCCCACCATCGTTATCGCCATCGTTAAAATAAAGGATACTTGACCATCGCCCAAAAAAATGACTCTTCATGGAATTAACGAGGAAACAAAACGAACAGGGCAAACGCTATAATCGAATTACTTAATGGCGGTGTTCACTAGCAATAGTAGACCTCCTTGTGAAAGAGTTCGTCCATGAAATATATTGCCACCTTACCTACTTCTGCCGCTAAGCAATAATGTGAATATTACTGCGTTCCGATTTTGACGGGCAAGGGTGCTGCTGAAATTACTAGCACGTGGGACTTGTCAACTTATATCTCAGAGTGACGGGTGCAATGGCAGTACCCCTAAGATTTAAAGCTCTGAGTGGCAACTGTTATGGATAGGCGTGTCGCTTACCACCTGGCGCACGACTTGTTCGTCCCGTCATTTGACATTATAAAAAAGTATGGAATAATAAAAATGACCCATTAATGATTAACGATTTCACATTTCTTTATATGTTTGAAGAGTTTTGAAAGCCGCTTCTCAAGTAGGTAACAATAATTCTAAGTTAAGGAAATAAATTTCCTTAATTTCAGCTTTTTTCGATAGGTACATAGTCTAAATAAATTATCGACAGTTATTATGTTTTGAAAAGACTGACTTAGAAGTTGTATGAATAGGTTCTTTGATTACATTCTGTAAATCTCAGCTTTTAAATTAGTTTATTGTTACAGGTGCGGTTAGGGAAAACGTCTATAGCAGATGGGGAGCAAATGAAAAAAAAAAATAAACGTAAAAAGAAACCAATTACCCCATACCTTCCAGATCCGTTTGTGGATATGTACAATCCACAGGATTTTCTTATGAAAGATTTCGATAAAGATAGTTTTATAAGTAAAACAAAGCAAATAGAAGATAAATCAGGACCCAGCGATGTCGATTTTAAATATTTGGCGCAACTTATACACAAATTGGGGCCTAATGATACTAAGAAGATCGATGATACAAAATGGGACATGATAACCCCTTTGAGAAGAACTTTAAGTCAAATTGAAGGAACTGGGAACCATCTTATTAAAACTGATGATTTTTTTCAAACGCGAAGAAATTTTGATACACATGTTCGCAATTTAGAAAGACACGATGATTTATATTATACAAAACTAGGCCAACAAATAGCATCTTTGATTAGAAATGTAGATGGTATCAACGGAAGGCAATCGGAACAAGTATCTAATTCACTTTCTAATATAGGCGTCGACCTTCATCAGCTTGGACCTAATCTATTTAACCAAAGCTCCAGCTCCTCACTTCAAGGCTCCAGCTTGCAACCGAATCAAAACCCCTACCTGTACAACGTTAAGAAAAGTGCACCTTCTTCGTCACAACAAATCTTATATGAAAACTACGGTCCGCGTTCTTATTGGGAAAGGTCCGTGAGATCGTTACGTTATCCAGAAGTATTACACCCAAAAACTGATAATCTTTATAAGCTAGAAAATAGATTAATAATAGTAGCTTCTACAGAACGCCCTTTAAGTTTAACCGAACTTGAAAATATTCTGACTATAATGGTTAAAGCTAAAACACAATTACAAAAACATACTAACAATATATTACCCAATGATACTGGCAATGGAAACCTTAATGTGAATTTATTGCCTCAACACATGGAAGTGAAGACATCAGCTCAAAATGATAATACTTTCCACAGATCCACCGAAACGGATACTCCTACAAAGGAAATTCACATAAATTCTGATGAAATGGTTCTCGACGAAGACGAAGTAACGAACTTCAATTTTTTGTCCAACAAAAAGAAAATAACAGATTCTATCATCATACCCAACAGAAAGCCATTACTAAAAAAAACTCCTGCTAAAGTACAATTGACAAATGTGACTCCAAACAAAAAACTATTAGGAACGAGTAACATGACTCATAATAAAAAGCAATCAAAAAATATCGGTAAGACGGATAAGGAAAAAGAAGACAAAAAGTTTAATGAGAGCCCCAATAAAAAATCACTGGTCAATTTAAACCTCTCAAACATCGCTGTGAATACCAACAAAACAAATTTTAAAACTATAAAAAGTGAAAGATTTAGTTTTGATAATGTGGCTCCCACTAAAAAAGATTTAACAATTTTTAATTTGATTCCTAACTTTAAGGAAACTGTCAAGACCTTTCCGTGTGAGAAAAATACTTTAATTACAAACGCAATCAACGATCAGCAGCAACAAGAAGCACGATCCATGATAAGTAACGTTCGCCGCAATTTACAAGGAGTTCTGTTGCACAACTTTAGAAATATATCCACTTTAATAACAAGCTTACCCAATGTTGAAATAAGAAACCATATTAATAATTCACACATTAATATTAAGGATATTCTGAAATTGCAAAGATTAACTACTAATAAATTAAAAGAGATAACTAATGCACATAATCAGATAACCAAAGTTACGTGGATAACTCCAAAGGTTGCACAATTTATTACAAACCCCGAAAGATCTTTGTTACAACCATCTGACATTCAACAAACTTACAGAAAAACAAGTATCTTTCCCAGCAATAGGCCCATTTTTATTGGGAAACCGTTGACATTTCAATTACCAGTGAAAACGCAAATGTTCAGGAGACCACAAATGTTTTTTAAACAAAATGTTAAAGGAGGATCATATTTCAGTCACCATTTAAACATGTTTAAATAATCTATTAGTAGGTAAAAAGTAATCGAAAAGAACAATACACGCAAGTAAAAATTAAAATTTCAGCAAATAATTTTGAAAGCTGGTACCACTATGTGGTCTGTGGCTGGTATACCTAAAGACAAACATCATAGTGTATTAAATAACTTTTTCATAATAAACAAATAACATTTTTTTTATACTAAGTAAGTGCGTATTTGACCTCCATCTCACCCAATGGAAAGTGACAATGAGGTCGACGATGGAGCATGCATATCTAAATAATGCCTATTCACTCTCGCCTTGAAAAGGTTCAAGTTATAACGTCCAGGGAACAATTCTGCAGGCACGGAATTCCACTCCATAGCCATTCGCCATATGAATGTGGACGCATAACGCTTCGTGTGAATCTTTGTAATATCCACTACATAGGAGTGGTATCCAAGCCTACATCTAGTCCCCCGATGATGGAAAGGGGAAGGCGGAATCAAATCGTGTAATTCCATCGCACACTCTCCATGATATATCCTGTAAAATACCGATAAGCCGGCAACTTTACGGGGCGGTGTACATTGTATTAATTAACTGTGTACTATTTTCTTTCGAAAACATTTTGCATATTGTATGATGGCTTAGAAATAAAAAGATAAAAGCGTTTGTACATAAATATTTGAGAAGCCATACTTAATGGTAATTATATTGTAAGCATTTGATTTGAGTGCTCTGTCTTTGTCATGAAATAACGCCACATAGTAATATTTCCTTGTAGTATTAATTTATTACTTATTTTTAAAACGCGGTCACGCTGCGCTGACTTCGTTAACGTACATACGTACTTTCACATTTACTGTAATTTACAATGGCTATTATTTATAAATGTGTATACTATTTATTATCTTACGTTTTATTTGATCCTAATAGGTCGTTGCTAGCTTTAGTAATATTCTTCACAGGGGATTTAATCCCTATTTGGTAAAGCGGACTACGCCCGCTACGGCAGGCAGAACAGCGGCCTAACACGCTGCATAGGATAACAACAACTCGTGAACTGAAGCGCAAGCTACGCAATTGCAACGAGCGTATTTGCTGTGCATATCACGGAACAACAAATATAGTAGAAGTATTTAGTGGGCGTGACACGTGTACCAACAGTACGCGGAGTTCCACGTATGCTCTTGTCAATTATCACACGCGAAATCTCCAAATCGTGGAAAAATGCCTTATTTTGTTACTTTGGACTGCAAACATTTTTATATCATCGTTAACTCTTATTTAATTCAAATTTTAATAAATTTTTCATTTTCTGTTTTATCGTAATATATTGTTTATTATTTATAAGAAACGTAAGTAAACCTTATACCGCTGCAATCGGTCGACTTTTTTTGGAGAACGTTAATAGGCGTTAATCGTGACTCTAAGATCGAACTTCGACACACGCTATTCTGACAATATGTTACATCGACATGATTTTACTCAGATATTACGCTACTCCGACAATATGTTATTTCGACATTACTTTACTTGGACACTACGCTCCTCCGACAACGTTAATCGTTTGTTGTCTCATACTCCTTCAGATATTGCCGCTAGATGACAACACATGGAATGAAATTTCAATATAAAATCGAAACATCGTAACTTGCAATACTATGTATTGTAATACTTTCAACGATATGCCAACTGGGTAAAGTTTAAATTATATTTACAGTCCAGAATTTATTACATCTTTTTAAATTAGAAACTACGACCAATCATTACAACATTTCATAGTTTTAACGTATGATGATTATGTGAGTTTTGGCAATAACAAGTGTTAAGTATAATGACTCTGTCCATTTCTAAAGCAGAACATTACATGATTGATGTTGTTCGTTGTTAAAATGGTGTCTTTGATGACGAGTATGGGGGCCCTTATCATTTTTAGTTTATGTAAATTATTTAATTATTTGTGCGTATAAATTTGTCGACCGTGCTACTATAACACAACTGTTAATCTGCAGTAAGCGTCCTAAATGTAAAAACTCATTCTCGTTTGGTGATTCAACGGTGAAATAGTTTTCTTTGTCCTGTCAAAAAGGTACCACATCCACGTTACGTGTTTTGAAAATAGGCTGCTGGAAATTTATGTCACGGGGCCAATAGACTTAGAACATAAACTAATATATATATATTATTATGTAGGTACTTCCGAACCCAACACACTGAATGAGACGCAAACTAAAAATATTATTATTATTGTAGTGTATTTTTTTTCAAAGTTATGTAGATAATTTGAAATGGTCACTATTGTCTTACACTTTACTTTGTATTACTTATAGTATTATAGCATTATTTAGAGTAGCGGTAGAACTCCTTGTGAACAAGTTCATCCAGGTAAGTACTGCCACCTTACCTATTTCAGCCGCCAAACAGTAATGTCAGCATTACTGTGTTCCGGTTTTGAAGGGTAAGGGTGCTGGTGAAATTGCGGACACGGGACTTGTCAACTTATGTCCCAGGGAGACGGATTCAGTGGCAGTGCCCCTTAGATCTTTGCGATTTAAAGCTCTGAGTGGCAACTGTTACGGCGTGTTGCTTACCATCAGGCACACAACTTGTTCGCCCCTTCACTTGATATTATTATATAAAAAAAATATAAAATAAAAAAACACTTGCTTACTGATAGACGGATTGGTTATTTTAGTTTTGTTGTTAGACAGTACACTGTTACCTATATTTGACTACTTCGATTGTTTTTAGAGTGATTAAATCCAATAACTGTGTTAGTCATGCGATCAGAATAATAAATCGTACTATTCACAAATTGACAAATCGAATGGACGATGGACAGACAACACATATCTAGTTACGTCCGTATTTGGTACACTTTTCTTTGCGAAAATTAGTTTTGTATTAGCTATACAAATTTGTATTGTAAAAATAATGTGACATAATAATATGATCTTTTTTATAATTGTATGTTTTTTATGATACCAACGTAACGCGATGAACAAGTCGTGCGCCTGGCGGTAAGTGACACGCTTGTCCATAACAGTTGCAGTGTCCATTCGCTTGCAGCAATTCTTCATATAAATTTATAAAAAAAAAGGGACAGATTATTTCATCTTGGTAAGCAATAACCAACTCGCGCTAAACTTCATTACTTTTATTTTTATCTATATTTACTCCAAGGCTATTTTTATTAGACACAAGGTAATGAAGAAGCCAGATAATAATTATTACTTTGTTTGGTTCCAATGATATGTGCTTATGAGCGTAACTTAGGTTTTATTTCTATATTACACCTTTACTACATCTTGTTTGTTGTAAAGGTTTAGAATTGACTGGAAAAAAAGAAATAGAAATCTTTGCTACGATTCTCGGTAGAATCAATTCTGTAAATGTACGTTTTTTTTTAAATAATTGATCTCGTAGAGCAATTCTAATTTTATAACAGAGGAAAGGCACTTAGCTGAACGAGTATGACAATAACGAAGGGACGTGAGATCAAGTACTTAATTGGTGTAAAAGAAAATACAAAGTAGCAAGCCTAAACAGTGATTTGCAAATTGTGATCTTGGCAATTCCACAAAGCGAGAATAAATTGAAGATCGTAATTAGTTGGAGTCGGGTCGGGACGCATTAAAGTGTGCGGGCAAAACATTGGTCCCTCGACCCGCCAGCCTTTGCCGCAAACCCTCCCGCCTCTTCTACTGTGCCTATTTTAATCCTCGTATTTAGATATGACCGAAATAACGAGGTCCTGTGGTTTTATATATTTTATATCTTTTTCGCCTATATTTAGTACAATTTATTTTTATATACAAAATCATTAAAGACGAAAAAAGAAAGAATCTGTAAAGAAAATCTATAAAGAAAAGAATGAGAATATAAGAAAAGAAATCTATAATAAATAAAACCAAATTGAATAAAATACCCAAGTTGGCTCGAAAATAGTTCATAAGACTGGAACGAAAGTTAAAACAGCAAACATTGTTACTTACCGAAACCTCAACAATACGAATTCACTTTCACACCAACGTACAATCCCAATTTTCTTTACAAGAGAAAATGAAATTGTTTTACCAAACCTTTGTTGTTGCGATCAAACATCGCGTAAACTTACGTACTGAGGCAAATAGGGCCCGAATTTATTCGAAGCTGAATCGAGCGCGTTTCCAATTTTCATATTTCCACCGCGAGTGCCTCGTCTCGATTTCTAGTAAATCGCTGCGCAATATTTTACAAAACCAAATTGATTTACAATGGTTGGTATGGGTGAGTGCGGTCACAATTTCTTGTAAGCTATTCCAAATGGTTTTTATTGTATAATTTGAACATAATTCCCTAGTAGTCGTATTTCTGGACGGTCGATTTTTCGTAAGATAGAGATACGCATTTGCAATAAATTGTTTAGCCAATAACTTAACTACTTTGTATTAGGAACAGATATGATGTATTATATTATGAGTTTCCACTGCATACAACTCCATGAAAATCAGGTAATCGTGACAGCCTACATCATAACATCATGAAATTTGTACAAAACTTAGTGGATTAGTGAATCAATTTGAATTATTTTGTCAAAATGAAATAAAAGCTAACAAATAAAATAAAATAATAAACGTTAACATTTAAAATAAATATCAATTGTGCACGAATTTTATATTATATTTATAAATACTAACAAAACAAAAAGCTTTTAGTCAAAATCAGACGAAGAATTTAAAAACCACCAGCTCAGGAGTCTAGTCGGTTTATCCTTTATGACACGCTGATTCTGAACAAATTTTCCACCTCTATAAGTTTTAACTGGTCCCCAATTAATCTGCAATTTACATATTGTACATTTTTATTACAAATACGGCAAATAGTGAATCAAAATCAGGTTTGCAACCGTAGAAGTTGAGCAAAACACTAGACACCTAGGAGCAATCAATGCTTTTGAAATTCATGACACTCTGCGTCACGATTTGACTCCGTAAACCTGATTTGAATCAGAGTAAACAGTTTTGCGTCTATCATAGTTAATATTAAGTTGGAATAGTAGGTTAATTACATAATTTGCATATCTGCTCGTGAGGAGTTTGAAGAGGCACTCGGTCCTCCGGAGTCCTCCAAACCCGGGAAACCATAATGAATTCTCGCGCAGCCCAACTCCTCTGGCAAATTAGGATTAGATGAGGGCACTCTTATGTTTTTAGGTTCAAATGGTAAATGTAATTTCGATAGGAAACTCAATTTGAAAGCAGGTAAAGCGAATTACTACCGTAAATTTATTTAAGTATCGCTTCAAATTGTTGAGGTTGATTCTAACCCAATTAGGGAATCTCTAATTATTTAATTGCCTACAACGGTTCTAATGATAAATTACTTTTCAGTACCAGGAACCTGTTGAACCATAGAATACGGGTCAAATCAATATCATTAATAATGCTTAAATAAAATTTTAACATTGAAATACTCTTATACTAATTTGGTAATAAACTTTTATAAATGAAGTTGTAATTTCGACCTTTTAAATTATAGTATAAACATACGTAAAAGTTTGTGAAATAAGTAAGATTTGGCAGACCAATAAGCGGGTGGGTCGTCTGCCGCGGACATCTTATTTTGACGCTCTTTGCGCCGTGAAATATAACCCCACTCGACATTCCAGTATTGAATTTTTTTGTGGATATAAAGTATGTAAGTAATAATTTCTTAAAACATTTTCTTCAACTTCAACTTTATAAGCAAATTTCACCTACAACTGTCTGAAAACACGATTAAAGTAAGTTATTTTATTTAAACATTCCGTACAAAAGACTCAAGAAGGAAGAGTAACAACAATGATTCTAACTTAGATTCCAGAATTGCTCACTTTCGCCGTATCAGAGGGCATTTGGGAATATTCT